AAAAACAAAAAAAAAACAAGAAAATTAATTAAAAATATAGGAGAGCAGATTTTGCTTACATCATTATCAAAGTATTTCTAAGCAGAACAGTAAGAAAAGAGAATAAAGTAGAATAAGCTTTTCATCTTCAAAATTATTACAAATAACCTGAAATCTAACTCCAAAGTGGGTTAATGTATTTGCAAAACAGATGACCTACAGGTGTCATCACACTTAATGTATAAAGAGCTGTGAGAATTCAAGTAGAAATGTTTTAAGAGATAATTCACAGTGGGTTATAATACACAAAATATTTATATTACTGTCAAAACTCTGAAATGGTTTGTGGTTGAGGTGGAAGAAAAACCATTAATATTCTAGTAAGCACTTTTTAAAAATTGTACATGCCTAAGGAATGCTCATGTTGTTTTGATATATATTGTGAAATGATTACTACATCCACCATGTTGCATAGTTACTGTGTGTGTGTGTGTGTGTGTGTGTGTGTGTGTGTGTGTGTGTGTTTGTGTTAAGAGATTGAATGTAGGGTCTCGCACCCTCATTCTCCACTGCTCATAAGGTTTCTGTTGAAAAACTTGCTAATAATCTGATAAAGATTCTCTGGTATCCTCACTGGCTGCAGCACTCAGGAGAGTGGCCCCTGCACCTTGCCTGGGCAACATAGAGCTGGCCCTGAAGGTGTAGGTGTGGGAGAGCCAACTCTGAGGATGAGAAAGTAGAACCGGCCCCGCCCTTTGCTCATCCATGCAAGGGGTGAACTAGCCAGGGCAATGCTGGAGAGCTCACCCTGGTGGTGAGGACAGGGGAGAACTGGTGAACTGATCAACCCTGCAAGGACCCAGTCCCAGAACCAGGGTTATGAGTTGGCCTGCTCCAACATCCACCCCATCTTTGATCTGCTGGAGCATATGAAGGGGCTGGTCCTGCAGACCCAAAGCTGCAGGATCTCCATGGCACAGGGTAACAACAGGATATTCAAGAGGAATCCCAGTGAGGGCCCAGTATAGTGTAGCAGAAACCAGAGGCCTCAAACCAGACCAAGGACTCTGCAATGAGCACTTGCAAGTGAAGGGTTTCTGCCTGACTCTCTGTCACACTACAGCTTCCTTGATGAGGTTTTTCCTTCTTTTTTTTCTCTTAAATTTTATTTTATTTTACTTTGGTGGGGAAGTTGCAAGGGCAGAGGGCGCATATGAAGGGACAGAGAAATGAATGGGATCGAGATACGTGATGTGAAAGACACAAAAAATAAATACAAAGAAAGTTAAAAGAAGATTCTCTTGTATGTAACTTGTTTTCTATTGCTGCCTTAAAATTTTTCTTTTTGACTCTGGCTTCTGATAGTGAAGTTATAATGTGTCTGGGTGAAGACCTCTTTTAATTTAGGGACTTTTGAACATCATGGAGCCAAATGTCCATATCTCTTCCAAACTTTGCAAAGTTTTTTGTCTTTGTTTTATTTTTTTTTTTACAGTTTCTCCTTCATCTTCCTCAGACTCTTGTAATGCATATGTTTCTTATCTTAATTATCTTTCTTTAAATTTTTTTCCTTTTATTGAAAATAGATTTTTTTTTCTCATGTAATATATCTTGACAATGGGTTTCTCTCTTTACTTCTAGTTCTTTCCCATCTCCCCTCCCACCCAGACCCACTCCAGTTCTGTCTGTCATTAGAAAACAGGCTTTTGAGGGGTAATAATACCATAAAAGAAAATAAAGACAAACCAAAAGCTGACAATAAGAATAGAAGAAAAAGAACAAAAAGAAGGAAAAGAGCCTAAGAAAAGGCACAAGAAAGAACTATAGATGCAGAGAGCCACTTGTTTGCACACTCAGAAGTCCCATATTAAAAAAACAAAACAAAATAGAAAACCTAAACCGGAAACCATAATAGATAATTAATATATAATATATAATAAATAATATATAATAGCACTTGTTTGCACACACAGGAATCCCATATTTAAAAAATAAAACAAAACAAAATAAAAAACCTAAACTGGAAGCCATAATATATAACCAAAGGACCTGTAGAGTAAAAGAGAATATATATATATATATATATATATATATATATATATATACATATATATACATATATAGAGAATAAATAAGATAAAATAAAAACAAACAAACGTTATCATTCTTTTTCATGATCTTTTCTTTTGTGCCCTGTCTGGAGAGGGGCAAAAGGCCTGTCTGGAAGCTCATAGATGCTGTCTTCTGCTCAGTTGGAGCTGACGTTGAAGCTTTCTGTTGTGTTCTTTAGTTGTGTCTCTCCATCCCAGGATCTGTATGTATTTGGTCCACTCTCTCATTGTGTAATGATCTTCATCTCTCTGTTGAATTTCTGGCTTTGTTCATGTCTTATTTTCTAGAGGTCATTGCATCATCTACCTCTTTTTTCTTTGTATTTCCCCAAATACAATTATTTTTAATAGATCTTCATTTCTTTGGGGATGGTCATTTACTGGAGAAGGATTCTGCTCTCGTGACTGTGTTATGTCGCCATGCTGTCCTTGGTTTCTGTTCTTTGCATCAATGCCCTTGTATCTGATAGAGTAGCCACATCTTCCAGACCTCCCAGCCTGGCTCTGGCATGGACTTCCACCTGTAGAAGGAAGGCCGGGTTGCCTAGATTGTGGTGACTTTGGTTCCAGGGAGCATCCAGTGGCACAATCTTCAACAATCCAGTCAGCTGAGTGGGCATTTGTGAAGCCTGTGGGGACCTCAGTAGCCAAAGGCTGCAAGGGGCTGAGATCCTTCTGGTCGTTCTTTCCCACTCGGTGAAGCCTGACTGGCTGAGAACGACCCCTGAACACAGGATAGGGGTACAGCTAAGGATTCCCCACCGCTCCCTGTGTTTCGCATCCTCTGATTTTGTGTTGCACTGTGCTACATTCTAGAACTCTCCTGGAGCTATTCTGACAGCATGTGATTGTTTTTGTTAGAAAGGTGAATATTACCACTTTTTATTCCATCATCTTGCTTTTATGTGTTAATTGAAAGATGAATAAAAATTTTGCAAAGAATGAATTACCTGAAGTAGTTAACATGAGACTCTTGAGAATCTTGCTTTTGTAGTAATTCAAAGGACTTCACTGGCTAATTTCTTTTTCTAATTTTGATGTTTCTTTGTATAAGCTGATTTTGCTGAACTCAATGGGTAGAAACTCTATAGTAATACATTCCATGGAGCTTGCTGGAGACTGACCAATGACACCCAAATTTTTCAGAGTTTCCTTGACTACTTCTCTGGTGTCTTACTTTATTTTGTATTTTTCTGTCTGGTGGATCCTTCTGAAAATCTGACATCTGTAAAACATCTAGAGTATAACAGTGGTTGGTGTCCACCATGATATCAGCAAGAACAACTTCCCAAGTCCCTAAACTGAGTGATACTACATTCCCAAAGCCATCTCCAAAGCCAAATCTGTGCTAGGCTGTGAGCATGAAGGAGAGTCCCAGCCCCCGTTTCCTGTATCTCACTTTGTGATTTCAATAATGCTTCGCTCCTCTGCTTCCTCTGAGAAGTAGCTCCATTATCTCTTACAGTCCTGTTAATTCTGACATGATAGTTGAGGAGCCTTGGTCAAGTTATACCCGCTTATTCCAATTTCACCCGGTCATCCCACTTAGGGACCAGTCTTGCCAAGCAATTTTCTGCTGAGCTCCTTTTTCCTCTCCATGAACACAGTGCCTGTCAACAAATAGCCCCTTAAGCTGCTTAGTCCACTCCTTTTTTTTCTCCTATACAAGGATGCATGGGTATTCTTAAGCATCAAGGAGGACAACATCCAACAGCACATTCCTAGGCAAAGGGTAAGTTGGGGATGAACGATGCTGCTTGGTTCTGTACCTCCTGAATCTCTCGCTTCCCACATGGTGAGAACCAGCGCTCTCTCTGCCGGGCTGGGCTTCTCATACTTCTTTGGCCTCAGCTAAGGCACTGTGTTCATGGCTCTCATTTCCTCTCTCCCTCCGCTAAGTCAGTATCTTTTTCTTCCGTCCCCCACCATGGTGAAGCACACAGCTGACTGACTGAAGCAAAACAAGAGGCGGAAAAGCCCCAAACTGGTGCAAGGAAAGTCTTCAGATGCCGGCCTATGAGTCAACTCCCGAGGTCCAAACTCCAGCGGGCAAGAGGACTGACCTTCCGACTCTCGCCCCTCAGGGGATATTAGTTTTACCTTCTCTGCTAAAATGATGGCAAGCAGGCTGGGAACCGCCGCTAGATTATTTATTCAATGTGACAGCCTCTCCTCCACACCCCTTCCCAACCTTTTACTCACCACCTTTCCAAACTCAGCAAGGTCTTGAGAACTTAAAAAAAAATTCTCGTCAAAGAATCAGAACTGGGTGAACAGGAATTTTAAAAATAATCCCCAGTTACCGTTGTTTATCTGTCTCAAAAGAGAAAACGTGAAATTTCAAGATGGTCATCACCTTGGAAACTCAAAGTGCCCATTGTAGCCTTTAAAACATGAATTATCTCACTGATGCTCAGAACTCCCCGCCCCCCTCTGCAGTTCCAACGGCTTGTGTGGGGGAGAGAAAAATAAATTCTAAATTAAAAATAAGACCTGTTGATTGCAGCGCTCTCCTGTTAAAAGACCGACTGTCCAGTGAGGAAATGGATGGTCACAAATCGTCTGCTTTTGGAGCTAAATGATAATAGAGTTTTAATACCCTAAGAAAAAGAAAAGCTCCTTCCTCAGCAAGCGACTGAGAAGCTCTGTTGCTGGAGTTAAGTAGCTAGGCCTGTGGTGCAGTAATTACTCCAAGGAGGCCTGGGGAAAGGAAAGTGCATTCCAGACACCTAATCATTTACAATTGAGTCTAATGAGCTAGTAATTTACAGCTTGGGGGTGGAAGTAAGGAAAGGTCCCTGCCAGGAACTGGGCAGACTCTTTAAAATCCTGGGGTTTAATGAAGGCATTGGAGGGTGGATTCATACAGCTGAACTTGGGTAATTCCATCTGCTCAGTGCTCGGACAAGAAGTAAATGACAGGGCACTTGGGACCTACATCTGGAAACAACATGTTTCAAAGGATTTTATAAATCCTGCAGTAAAAGGAGAAAAAAGAAGAAGGAAAAAAATGAGGTAGAGAGGCCTAATTATGGGGGGATGGGAAAGTACCACAAAGGGCCATTGCAGGCTCTTTTTAACTTGGAGAAATAACATTTTCTCATGTCAAGGTCAGACATTGATTATAATTGCTAAAACATGCTTGTCAAGCTCCTATGAAAGCAGCAGGTACTGAATCCTTTCTGGACAGGATTTGGGAAAAGACAACAGAGGAACTCAGTGTGCACTGAGTTTACTTCACAGCCCCTTTTTAGTCTTTCTAGTTTTTAATTTACAGGGTTACGTTTACGTTCTGTTCACTATTTCTTTTTGGCTACAGCTAGGAGGGGGCAGAAGGATGTTCTAAGTAGATGAAGGAATGGATAGTGGAGACTGGAGTATCCCATCGTTCCTCTATTCCAATGATGTGTGTGTGTGTGTGTGTGTGTGTGTGTGTGTGTGTGTACGTGTACATGTATCAGAATTCATTTCTCCTCACTTTGAAGGAGTGTTCTTTGAATGTTCTTTGTATTTGCTTCCTCCGTTTTCTTTTTGGCAGTGCTGGTGTTTGAACTCAGGGCCTGGTGCAAGCTAGGAGAGCGCCCCACCACTGAGCTACACCCCATCTTCTTCATATCTTATTCTTGTGTTAGCCTGTCCCATTCTGAAAAAGTGGTTTTCTATTTGTCGTCACGTTTCTTCGTTCTTCCCTTCTCCGGCGGCTCTGCGAGGTGGTGGGAAATGAGTTTAGGTCAAATAGGAGGGTGGGGGCAGTGTAGCATTTCTGGTCTTGGAGAACTAAATTCAAGCTGGAACTCATTATCATCCCTCCCACTGCCATATAGTATTTCAGAAGGAAAGATTGCATGTGGTGCTAGCAAGGGCAATTAGATTGGTCCAAAACAAGTGATGTGACTTGTGATCACAGTCTCATTCGCAGATAAAGTGCCGGATAATAGTGTTTGACATTTCTTGTGTGCAATGTGCTTCACATCCATTACTGTAGATAACAGGGTCTCGCTACCAGTCCTGGCCGGCCTGGAAGTCTCTAGGTAGACCAGGCTGGCCTCGAATGCAGAGATCCACTTGCCCCTGCCTCCCAATTGCTTAGATCAAAAGCATGCACCAACACACGCAGCTCTCTCGGATGATTCTTGCAGTAGCCCAGTGAAACAGCTATGCTTCCGTCCCACTTTTCAGATGAGGAATTCTTGCTTTGTGGAAATTCACGGGGCAATGTCAATAGGATAGTAAGGGGAGAATTCAAACTTGGGGAGCCAGAACTCTCGGGCTTAGTTCCTCTAACGTGCTAACAGAGTTTCACACGGGTGAGTGTAATATTTTAGGGACTTGGGAAACATTTGTCTGGATGCAGAGTGACAATCCTGGTGACATCTGGGGAACACCCCCCCCCCAAACATAAAATTCAATCAATAAAAGTCTTTCAGATGATCATTGGAGAAGTGGGTACAGAAGAAAGAGATTATATTGTTTTCTTATGTATTATTTTCTGCCACAGAGCTTGGAATCTGGCTCAGGGCACAAGTGGAATTGGTTTTCAAGTGGTATATTTCCCTGTTTTTTAGAGAAAAGCCTGTTCTCCACATCTTAACTTTGAACATACCCCTTTGCTGATTAAAAATAACAGAGTTTTTGTTGAGTTTCTCAAGATCTTGAGTGTGCTTTTTGAAAGCCTGGGCAAAACCTCTGTCCTGGAATAATAACTATTCTTTGGAAGGCTGTGTGTGCTGATCCATAATCAGAAACACGTGATAAGGTACTCCGTTACAGTTTCCACACACATGAACCCGGGAGGGGGGAGGGGGCTTTCAAGTTAAATAAATCCTTACATGTGTGACAAAAACAAGCTCCAAGACACCGTGGGTATTGCCAGCACTGGAATCTGAGACCAGAGGGCTAATGAGGATGAAAAAAAAGAATGAGAAAAATCCTAATATTAAGCTGTAATTTCTCTTTCTTTTTTCCGAGCCTGACCATCGGCATTTCCCTTGGTGCTGCTAGTTTGTTTCCATTCTTAAGATTACACAGGTAAGCTTAGAAAACCAGGCTGGTAGTTGAAAAAATGTATACCTCATTACAAAACGTGTGTGTGTGTGTGTGTGTGTGTGTGTGTGTGTGTGTGTGTGTGAGAGAGAGAGAGAGAGAGAGAGAGAG